AAGAGTTATTTGAAGTGACTCTCCAGCTGTTTCCAAAGGGCATTTAAAGCATTGTGCAGGCCTGACAGCATGTGGCCTCCCACTCACACTGTAATGTCTCCAAAGTAAGGAAGCCGCTCTGGAATCACAAGGCAGCATGTTCTATTGTGTGCAACCGCAAGAACAGAGACGTAAAGCAGCTGAAAAGGAAGCAGTGAGCTGCAGCCTTCGCAAAGCTGGGGCACCAAAGCTATTCCAGAAAAGAAAAGCATACATATATATGAAAAATATCCAAATATCCGTGATGCCAACAAGCCCCCAAAAGATTAAGGGCCCTTGGAGAGTAAGTACTTTGTGGGCAGACCAAGCCACTGACCTGACCTGCTCCAGCCAGGGTATAAAAATCCCTACCCCAGTAGAGGAGGATGACAGTTCAAGTCAACAGGTCACCTGCATTTCATGGAAATCCTATATAGAGCAGAAAACGGGAAACCCTTTCCTTCTGTCCCAGTCAGAGGGCCAGAGGCCACTACAAAATAATAACAACATAATAATTATAAGGAGTCTGGATGGCACAAGTGGTTTATGCTCAGTAGCTAACTGAAAGGTTAGAAGTTCAAATCCACTTAGTGACTCCACGGAAGAAAAGGCCTGGTGATCTGCTCCCATAAAGATTACAGCCAAAAAACGGTCAGGGGCCAACGCAATGGCAGCTAAAGACAACAACAACAACAATTGCAGCACCACATCAAGCACTTGCTCTGTTAGCAGCAGTGCTAAGGGCATACCTGTGAATACCTTTTTAATCCTCACGGCAGCCTCATGAGGTGGATCTATTATCAGCATCCCTATTTTCAGATTAGGAGAGTGAGGCACAGAGAGGTTAAGTCACCTGCCCAGCTACTCACCTCCTAAATTGTAGAGCAAGGATGTGGGGCTCAGGGCCTGCAAACTTAACCATAAGGCTGCACTTAGGGCAGTGGCATTGTGAGCCCGACAAAGGAGGATAAAATCCTAACGTGTATTGAACCAGGATCAGGGCAGCACGTAGCCATGACAAGGAAGCGGTCATACAACCCCTGACAGCTTTGCTCACCCAAAGGCAGATCCATTGCCGTCTAGTCCATTCTGACTCACGGGGACCCCATGGGCTAACAGAGTAGAACTGTGCTCCATCAGGTTTTCTTGGTTGCAGTCTTTACGAGTACCAGTTTGCCAGGCTTTTCTTCTGCGGAGCTGCTGGGTAGGTTCGAACTGCTAACCTTTTAGATTAGCAGCCAATCACAAGCCGATTTTGCCACTCAGGCTTCTAAAAGCAGGACAGGGGCTACTTTTTCTCGATTCGCTACATAGGCAGCTGCATCATTCAAAAGGTAGGAAAACAAGGAGGGGAATAGACTCTGGTCTTAATTCTGGCCAACAGAACATCCGATTTGCATCATGAAAATGATGAGAACCGCCAACATCCTCCAATACACCCCAGGACAAGGGCTCCCAAACTGGTAGGCCCAGGCTCAACGGGGGAGCTCCTTTGTAAGCCTGTGTATTCCGGGATCCCACTACCACTGGATTCTGCTTCAGCAGGTCTGCAGTTCACCTGGTCAGCAGATCAGCAGCGTCTGCAGTTTAACAAGCAACCCCAGGTGATTCTGATTTGGTGAATGGAAGAGGAAGCTTCCATAAATACTGGCCTAGACTCTACGAAATCAGACTTCAGAGAAGTTCAGAGAAAAGATGGCATGATTCTTCCATCTAAAACAGACTGCTATAAAGAAATTGAGCCCCCTGAATGACAGAAGGCGGTCCAAGAATAAGATTCTAAGTCTAAAATAGAAAAGAATTCCAGTGGGATTGAGCTGCTAAGGAGGTAAGAAGATTGCATATAATTATGCAGGATGACAGGCCTAGACAGAGTATCCATCTTCTCAGATAGATATATTCTATGATATAAAATGGGGAAGGAAAACTATTGAAAGATGATATCCAGGAATCAAAGCAGAACATATTTAAGAGCTAGCATGTGAAACTCGAAAGCCAGAGGAATTCAGAAGAAAGCCCCCCAGGGCCAGCCCGCTGCTCACACCATGCAGACTGAGCTCCGCCAGGTACCGGGCATTACGTGAGGTCCAGGCGTTTTAAGAAATGAATTAAACACATCCCTGCTCTTCTCTGCTCTCTCTGGACTCAACCCAATGAGGAGACTTTAAGAATTACTTTTTAATCTCTAATTTATATTTTCTGAATTTCAGTGTCTAAATATGCTTCAACAGTAGTCCCACCTGTATTTATTTCTATGCTGATTGTCTTAGATGTGGTGTGGGTTAATGGAAAGAGACCGGATCCGCCCCCGCCACACGCATGCACGCACGTAGGCACGCATGCATGCCCACGAGGTGAAATTTAGTGCTTGTTTGATTTCACAAAGGCTAGAGAAACCTTGCTGACAACAAGCCTGGAGGAGGAGCAGGTGAAGCTTGTACCTAAACCGCTTCCCAAGTCACATCCCCAGCCTGTCCCTTCCATGGGCATGCAGCTGCCAGCAACCCCCGTGTAGTAAAGCTGGGGTCTTGCCAGACACAAGAAGCTTAATTTTCTATTGCACCACTGTCCTTTCTTACTTGGGACTTCCATAATTACTCCTGAAAAACCGACACCAATATTTTCATTTAAGTCAATGGCTTTCAAACTTGTTTGGCTGTGATTTACAGTAGGAAATTTTTCTTACATAAGACCATCCAATTCATTGAGCATATATTTACTGTAATCCTACCAGGTGCTAGGCACTATTGTAGACAAGGCTTTGAACCAGCTTAGCATTTACATTTCTAACAAGTTCCCTGCTGAGAATTTCCATATCCACCCCCAGATATACTGAATCAGAATCTACAGTTTAATAAGATCCTCAGGTGATTTTCATGCATAACTTCCTGGGAACTAGTTAGAAATACAAATTCTCAGCAGGGGTTCCAGCCAGAACAAACCAGTTTCAAGCCCTAGATGTAGGGGATTCAGCAATGAACAAATCAGTGTGAAATCTTTACGCTCGTGGAGCTTATATTCTGCTGAGGGAGTTAGACCATAAACAAGTAAAATATAATAGTGGGTCAGATGGTGTAAAGCAATGGAGGAGAAACAAATCAGGGAAGGGGCCTAGGGAATGCTGGAGGATGACCAGGAACGGCCCCATGGAGAAGAAGGCATTGAACTCGGCCCACCAGGAGGAGGGTGAGTGGGCCACATGGAAATCTGGGGGAAGGAAAATGAACACAACCAGCAAAACCGATGTGCTAGAAATAGCCCCAGACAAAGTGTGTTCTGGTCCTGTTTCTGCCCCAACCAGTTTAGATAAGTCATTTTCCTCTGGGAGCCTGTTTCCTCCTTTTTAAAATGATCATCTCCAAGGTCCTTCTGGCTCTAACCTTCCTGAGTGTCTGTGTTCTAAGGAGCCTCTCATGTCTTATTCAGGGTAGAAGCACACGGATATACATACGTGTGCATGTGTATATGTCTGTGCATGCATAACATACAGAAATGGTAGAACAAAATGTCATAAAACACTACCCTCACTACATACCACACACTCTATATTTTCTATGGGTCCTATTTCATTTTCTTAAATGCTGATTGCACCCACTAAACTGATTTCACTAACCACTAATGAGTCTTAAGGAACTTTTTTATAGACACTGAGATTTTCTTGCTTCTGGAGCCAAATTTAGCATCAGCAAAACCACATACTCTTCCAAAAAAACCAAACCCAAACCTGTTGCCATCCGGTCGATTCCGACTCGGAGCGACCCTATAGTACAGGGTAGAACTGCCCTATAGGGTTTCCAAGGAACGGCTGGTAGATTCGAACTGCTGACCTTTAGGTTAGCAGCCAAGCTCTTAACCACTGCGCCACCAGGGCTCATCCGAGAGAGGGAAAAGCTGACTCAGTATTGGAGCCTTCCTCAGCCACCAGCTTTCCAGCAACCCAGAAAGCCCATGTACCTATCTATGCCTGTGGCACCAGAAGCATCAAGCAGACAGCCTCAAAGCCCAGCTCTGCTGCTGTGATCCTTTTTTTTTTTTTTTATGTTATTCTCTTTTTTTAATGTTTTAAATAAACATTTTATTGTAGAACAGTTTGAGATTTACAGAATTACTGCAAAGACTGTCAGAGTTCCCATATACCTGGCACCCAGTCTCTCCTATCAGCATCTTATATTAGTGTGGTATACTTGTCACAATTAATGAACCAATATCAATAAACTGTTATTCAGTAAAGGCCATACTTTGTTCAGATTTCTCCAGTTTTTCCCTAACGTCCTTTTTCTGTCCCAGGACCCTATCCAGGATGCACATTCCATCTTGTAGTCATGTCTCCTTCGGGCTGTGACAGTTTCTCAGAATTTCCTTGTTTTTGATGACCTTAACAGTTTTGAGGATTGCTGGTCAGCTATTTTGTAAAATGCATCTCTATTGGGAAATGTCTGATGTTTTTCTCCTGATTGGACCGGCGCAAACTACATAACCACGTTGAGGCTTCGGTTTCTTATTGGTGTAATGGACAAGACGATGAGGATTAAATCACTACATATACATGGAATAGCTAGTCAAGTAAACCAAACCAAACCGACTCATAGTAACCCTACAGGACAGAGTAGAACTGCCCCATAGGGTTTCCAAGGAGCGGCTGATGGATTCAAACTGCCAACCTTTTAGTTAGCAGCCAAGCTCTTAAACACTGCACCACACCACCAAGGCTCAGTGGTTAGTCAAGTACCAGCCCTTAATTCACACTTAATAAAATGGTGGTGGTGATGGTGAAGATAGAGATGGAGGTAAACTAGACCCAAAGTACAGCTTCATCCCACCACGCCATCAGAACCTAAAACGTTAGACAAACAGAGCCAGATACTGTGAATGCCAGTAATTACCTTAGTAATAAATGTCACAGAAGGAAGAAGAATGTGAGCTCGAAACTCTGCTGCTCTCATTGCCTTCCAGTTCCTAAACCCCCTCTCTCCCTCCTTCAGCAAACTATATGGAAATGGATTTGAAGAAATACAAAGTCACGCGTTCAATGGGACGACGCTGATTTCACTGTAAGTACACGCTCATTTCCCCAGCCCGTGAATAAAAATGAAACATTCCTCTGGCTATCTGATCCCATTCAATCTCCAGCAGCTAACTCAGGGCAAAAATAAACTTTCAAGTGGCTAGTCCTCGGTGCCTCCCACGTGTTACTAGGCAACTGGCTGGCTGGAAACCCCAGAGCACCCTGATTTCAAAGACAGATGCAGCCTCGATACATTGAAGTTGACAGTTTGCTGAAATATTCAACACCCTCCTTTATGCCTCCTCCATTTCACAGCCTCCCTCTCTAACCCCCTCACTCGGTGGACAGTATGTGAGAGGCAGCGCAGTTTCAGAAAAGACATTCTTCTCCCTGGCCCGCCAGCAGAGAAATTGGGTAACATCATTCACTAGCGTGATCGGCCACAACAATTCCACTCAGCCCCATCTCCCTATTGTGGGAGGCGGGGGAGCCTCAAGCTAATTTTCCGCAGGGTATGGGAGCTACCCTAGTCAGCAGTGTTAGCAGCCTTTAACTCAAGGGGGCGGGTGTCCCTACTGTTTCCTTCATGGTTCTCAACCTCTGTGGTTCCTCTTCTAAAACACTGACACATTCACAAAGCTTGCGGGGGCTGGGACCAGTGAACCTTAATAGGTACAGGGTGAGGTGATGATCACTCTACACTTGTGTGTAATAAAAACTAAGAGCACACATGGAAAGCTCAATGAAGGCCTAAATTAAGGGGCTGGGGAGAAGCTTTTATAATAGACAAGTCATCTACACCATGGTCTACACCAGTGCTTCTTAAACACACATAAGAATTACCTGGTGGGTGGGGGTAAAGAATTACCTGGAGGTTGTTCAAACACAGATTCCTGGGATTTAATAGGTCTAGGGTAGGGCCTGAGAATTTGCATTTCTAACAAGCTCCAGGGGATGCTGATGCTACCAGTCTGAAGTTGAGTAGCACAAGTCTATACAATATACTATGTATTTATTGTAACTGTAGACTTTAAACAAAGATCTTACTACATGCATACATGCTAGATAACTTGTTGGCTAAGAGAATAGGCTTTAGAGTCACTGACTTGGATTCAAAATCCTGTCCCACTGTTGATCAGCTTGTGTGGCCTTGAGCAAATTGCCTAATGTATCTAAGCCAAGAGTCCTCACCTATAAAATGGATCAACAGTGTTTCATAGGCTTGCTCTGAGGATACCTCCACCAAAGTGAAAAGCTCTACTTTGTATCCGCCATATTTAACATGGTGCCTGGCACATAGTAGATGGTCATTTATTATTCAATGAATGGATGAGTAAGTAATTAAATATGATTAGATTTTTCTGTGCTTAGCACAGGGTCTGGTACATAATGAGTGCTCAAGAAATGGTAGCTTTAAAAAGCTGTTCTTCCTATCATGGCATGAATCGTCTCACTTTCTTGTGGGTCACACTTTTTATTGTTTTTTGACTTTAATTTAATGAAGGGTTTATTCTGGCCAGTTTAATCTGTCTCTGCCAAAGTGGAATCAGGCATTGATATCCTCTCGTGGAGCAGCACCCTCAGACACCTCATTCCGTTGTTTGCTCACAAGTGTTGACTGGGCATCAGCTGTGCTTGAAGGAGCATGCTGTAATCTGAGGGAAACAAAGGTGAATAAGTCCTGTGCTTGCTCTGTAGGAGCTTTCAGCTTTGAAAGAGTCACCTCCAAATGGCAATAAATGCACACTTAATAGTAACTGAAATAGAAAGCTAGACATGTCACCTGCCCTGAGAGAGGGACAGTCCTCTGGGATTCCAAAGGCAGGGGCAAAGGGAGCTAGAGACGGCCTCATGAGAGGGGTGGACTTTGAGCTGGACCTGATTTAGAGAGGCACAGGTAGGAGGAAACCCCATTCTGGAAGAGGGCAGCAAGAATGTCCCAGAGGAGGGGGCATGGGATATGTTCAAGGAACAGCAACAGTACCTTTTAGAAAGCCCTAGACAAAAAAGAGGAAGACCCTCAATGAGATGGACTGACACAGTGGCTGCAACAATGGGCTCAAACATAGCAACGATCTTGACGATGGTGCAGGACTGGGCAGTATTTAATTCCGTTGTACGTAGGGTTGCTGTGATTCGGAACCGATTCGACAGCACCTAACAACAACGACAATCTACAGAATCAGACTGTCATGTCTTTCTCAGGTGGAGCAGCTGGTGGGTTCCAATCACTGACCTTTTGGTTAGCAGCCAGGTGTTTTAACCACTGTGCCACCAGGGCTCCTTTTAGGGGGGCCATGGTATGGGGTTTGAATTCTATTCTCAGGGCAGGGAGAAGAAAGTAGTGTTCAAAACTGGAACAAGCAAAAATTTTAAACTAAATATACATCCAGCCCAGTCTCAGACACCTTCCTCAGATACACACTTGTGCCGAACAATGACACAGAAGCTCTGCAAAGTTCTCAAATACTCTGTTTACTAAGGCAGGAGAAGGGCTTCTGGTTGCCCTCAGATACCTCCAGGGTTCCGGGAGTCAGTCCTCACCACTCCCAGAGCATCTCAGTTAGGAAAGCTTTGCGTGGAGTGTAGAGTTTCTCCCACTGTGCCTCAGAAGGTCATCCTTACCTGTGCTTCTCACACCTGGAGGGCCACATCACTTGGGAGAGTTCCCCAGGAAAGTGTGACAGATGCATTTGATTTCCTTTTCTGACCAAGTTACCTCATGCATAGTCATAAGTCTACAGAAAGACCAGGTTTTAATAAAACATGGGAAATGCTCCGTCATGCAATTTGAACAATTAATTTGGCCTGGCTGTCACAAGGATTATTTGCTCATCGAGACTGGTTTCAACGATTTATGACCATAACTGAACAAAATTAAGACAAACCGAAACAGGAAGAAGAGCCATGGAGGTTTGCGACAGAAAATTTCTTTTGATGTAGATTTTAAACAGCAATTGACTCTGACAATCTCATCTCTTTGAAAATGGAAAGGCACCCAGGGGATGGGGCGATGTGAGACTGACGGGCGCGTTCTGATGAAAGGACTGAGGGTTTCCAAGGAAAGTGCTGAGTGGAAGCCTGCGGCAAACAGCCACCCAGGGTGTGAGCTGCAGGGCTTCGGCAGGGTATAGATGGCAGGCGCGATTTGGAGACGAGCAGAGAGACCAGGGCAAAGATGCAGAGCAGTGAGAGGAGCACAGGTAATTACCTAGGCATCTCACAGGGCTGAGGGGTGGCTGTTGGTTTGTTGGTTTGCTTTCTCTCGTAACAGTGGTGCAGAAGAATCATGTTCCCGTGCTTGAAATCATCACACCAACAATGGATGTACACTGTGCTCACTGTCCAGGGTGTTCCAGAATGCTCTTTGAGGTTACCACCCTTCTCTTGTAGGAGGAAAGTGCTCCAAGGAAGGCTGGCAGGCCTGAGCCCAGGGACTCTTCTCCTAGCTCTCTTGACCACCCAGAGTTGGGTGTCCTGGGCTTGGAGACACTCGCATCAGGGCCCAGTCGGGGCCACTGAGAGCTCTCCTGTCTGATGAGGCTGCTCAGCAGGGCCAGGCTGAGCTGTTTCGGAGAGCAGGTTCCCTGAGCTGCTTTGAGCTAAAGGGAAGAGAAAGCCTGTGGTAGCTATTGCTGTAGCTGCTTTTGGCTTCTCCCATGGCCTTGAGAGCGCTGGCCCTCAACCCTTGGTCTACACAACACACACACCTGGTGATGATCATACACAACTTAGACGTGTCAGGAAGCCTAAGGGCAGTTAGTCTCCTGGTGGGATACAGTGAAATCCTGCAGGAAGAGAGAGGCCCTCTGGAATGACCTCACCATGGTAGGGGCCCCTGGAGCCAGTGTGTCCACGTAACAGCTGTGGAGCAAGATGGGGCCACCAGGTACAACTGCGTGGGCCAGCACTCCCCAATGGCAAGGGTCACCATTCACACAGTCCACCCTGTCAGTGGGGCAGCTCAGTGACCCTGGGGTGAGGCAAGAGAACCTGGCTCTGCCGGGTTTTCCTGAAGTAGACACGGCTCTCAGAGAAGAAGAGGGAAAAGCAAAGGTGATACAGAGAGAAATGAGGTCAGTGGCCAAAGAGAATCCTATAACCATCGCTGACCCCTTCCTCCCCCAGTCATCCTCAGAGTCTGCTCCAGCTTGGACAGGGCCAACAGGGCTGCCACTGGTGGGTAGTGGGAGGCTCTCTGAGCAGGAATCAAGCTTTTATTCTTCATTGAGAACGTGGGGTTTAAACAGCAGTTTCCTTCTGAGAGCGACTTCACTTCATAGTAAAACCTTCATTGATCCGGGAAAGGGTGAGTACTGCAAGTTGTAGGACCAAGGGTTCCACCGAGTGAGGAGGAAAATTGCAGAGAAAAGGTGATGCCTAACACACTAGTCATTCCCCAGTGTGGCCAAGGACTAGCGCGTCTTTGCTGCACTTTACCGGCAGTTCCTCCTCTTCCCTGTCTCGCCCTGCGCACCAGGCAGGTTGGCCCAAGCACGTGTGTACACAGCTATGACTGTCTACACTATCAAAAGGTGCAGAATGCACTAAGGAACCTGTCCTTGCCCACAGGGAGCTAAAGGAAAATGTACATCTGGAGAAGATGCACAACGGAGCCTTCCGAGGGGCCACTGGGCCCAACATCTTGTGAGTACAGCGGTGCTGCCTCCCCGACCGCCCCCTGGGTCCAACGGGCCTCCTGGGGTGTCTGCCACATCATTCCCAGCCTGGTGTGTGGCATCGGCCTCTGCAGCTGAGAAGGCCACCTATGAGAGCAGCCTAGCCTGCTGGTAGAGGGGGTGCTGCCCAGCCGACACCACTAGCGGGAACCCACGGCCAGCGAGCTGACTGGCCCCAGCACTGGGCTGGACAGGGCTCTTGAGGGTGCGAGAGCGGAGCCACGTTCCCTCAGTTAATGGATTCAGTGTAAGGACACGTGGGAAAATTAGAAGGAGCAGGAAACGGAAACCCTGGCCTTCTGACGAAGCCTCGGGGAGCCTGAAACATCCTACAGAAACCAAGTGCAGCTGCAGTGGGGCTTCAGGAAGGGACACCACGGGGCCCAGATGCTCAGCTCTAACGTGGGCGACGGCATCACCCCCTCCGTGGGGGCACCCGGCCATTACACCGTCCTCTGGCTCCCTGTCACTCATCCATTCAACTCACAGCGATTGAGCACAGCCTCTGCTGGAGCCCTGGTGGTGCAGTGGGTAAGAGCTTGGCTGCTAACCAAAAGGTCAGCAGTTTGAATCTACCAGCCGTTCCTCAGAAACTCTAAGGGGCAGTTCTACCCTGTCCTATAGGGTCACTAGGAGTCGTAATTGACTTGACAGCAATGCGTTTGGTTTTGGTTTTTGTTTTCTCTTTACCCAGCACCTTGCTGGAAAGACAGTGATGAGCAAAAACAGCCCTGCCCTTAAAGAGCTTACAGTCAGAGACAGGGAGACAACAATAAACAGGCAAAGCAATAAGCAGGCGTGTGATTTTCAAATGAGAAAAGTACTAGAAAGACGGTGAACAGGGCAACCGAGTTCACTTGTTCATTTATTTATTCATTCATTCAAAAAATCTTTTCTGAGCCCATACCATGTGCTAGGCACTGTAGGCATCAAGGAAACAGCAGAGAATAAGGCAGAAGTCTCTGCCTTCAGAGAACGAGGGAGGACAGACAAGGATGAAGTAAGTAAGTAAATACATAGTATGCCTGATGGTCTTCATCGTTAGGGGGAAAAGTGCAGTTGGCTGAGGAAGAGGCGGGCTGGGGAGGGGGAGCTACCATTTTAAAGAGGATGGTCAGGGAAGACCGCCCTGGAAAAGTGTCATCTGGGCAAACACCTGAAAGAAGTCGGGGAGCAAGGTGCATAGGCGATGTGCAGGGAGGGCATTCCAGGTCGAGGGGACAGCAAAAGCAAAGGCCCTGTGGCCGGAACTTGCCTTGTGTATTTGAGGAACAGCAAGGAGGCCAGTACGGTGGGCGAGTGAGCAAAGAGGAGAGTCATAGAACATCAGGACAGCGGTGGCACAGAGCCAGGTCATGCGGGACCTTGTGGCCACTCTAAGGACTTTGTCTTTGCTCTGAGTGAAACGGTGAACCTTTAGGGCTTTGAGCAAAGCAAGGACATGAAGTGACCCAGGTATTCTTGATGTCCTAGCTCCTGCCAGTACCAACTCATGACTCTGACCACTTTCTACCTCCCACTACTATCAGCCCAACACTCTGTCCACTTCCTAACTCTTATCTGCTATCAACTCTTGACTCTACTTCCTGCCCCCACCACTATCAATCCCCAACTGCAAAAGAGTCATGTGCTCAATCCCTAACACACTAAAGAAAATAACTCTATAAAGCAGAATGAGAACATGGATTACCCAAATCCACAAGGGCACAAAAGTAGCAAAGTTCTGTAGCCCTTCGGGTGGAGGCAGTAAGGCAAATTCTCCTGCCTTGATTATTCCACCAAAGGCCCACATTAGTCATCGCTCTATGTTGCCAAGGTCGTCTGTCCGTCAATCACCTACTGGCCCCCTCCCATATGCTGGGCACTGAATACTGAGGCAGGTGGCTGAGGGGGGCCGTGCTGCCGGAAAAGTTTCACAGAGGACCAGCAACAGCCACTGGAAGTTGGGCAGAATTTTAAAACTTCCCACTGACTCTTCTTCCTGACAGCTAACTTGTTTGGCATTTTCTTTGACATTGCCTCAAGTCTGGTAAAAGTGAAACGTTCGGGACCTTGTTTGCAAAGCCTGAGTTTTCCACCCAGCTCTGCTTGCATGGCCGAGTGTTTGCTTGCTTTGGGCAGATGACTCCAGGTTGCTTTTAGAGAAGGTGTGTTCTGCTTCCCAGGGAGATGATGGCTAACGCCGCACAGCGGCCCTTAATCGCTAACCAGCCTCTGCTTTCTGAAATCTACCCCGCTGGGCTTGCTCACTCAAAGACCTCGCGAGGCATCTGAAGCCCTGAGTATTTCCTCCCAGAGCAGGACACAAAAGCTGATGTCACTGCATGTGCCTGCTGTATTCTATACAACAGGTAGTTTTTTTCACTTCTGCTAAGTGGGAGAAAGGAGAGGGAGAGGGAGGGAGAAAAGGAAAGAGAGACAGAAGAAAGGAAAGGGGGAAGAGAGAAAAAATGCTAACGAATGTAGGGCAGGTACCACGAGCTACACTCAACCTGGAAAAGAATAACGGGTGCGTATGAGAAAAACACAGCATAGCTTCTTTGCATTCAGATCTCACTGGGATGACTGAAGAGAACTAAGGAGAGAGCAAGATGGAGACAAGTGGGAGGGTTCCTCAGAACCCAGGATGATACTATCATTGTGAGGAGATTTCATTCTATGAATCAAACGTACAAGGTAAATAAACACCTTTCTCTCCTTTGCTGTTCAGGGACATTTCTTCCACCAAACTTCAGGCCTTGCCTAGCTATGGGCTGGAGTCCATTCAGACGCTAATTGCCATGTCATCCTATGCCCTAAAAAAACTGCCGTCAAGAGAAAAATTTACCAGTCTCCTGGATGCCACGTTGACGTACCCCAGCCACTGCTGTGCTTTTAGAAACTTGCCAACAAAAGAGTAAGTAAAAAGCAAAAGGGAAAACCTGCCAAGCTGTGCGAGAAACTCAGGGTTCAAAAGGGCCAACTGGTGGAGGGCTCCCTGCCCCTTCAGTCCCTGCCTTCCTGGCCAAGGTCACCGCCATGGGGCTGCTTTCAGACAGACAAGAAGACAGTGAACCAGCCCGCTCCCTCGTGGGAGTTGATTCACCCTGCAGCCAGAGGGCCTCTGAGCCAATTCTGGGCTAACTGAATGACAGCGACTTTAGCAACTGCGCAATGGTGCACAAAACTGGCAGGCAAAAGGTCCATCGGCTCTAACGCTCATCCGAGAACACCATTTTTAAACAAGTGGGGAGCAGGCTCAGGAGGGCAAAGGTCACCCAGTGTCTTCATCTTTAGTTTTAAAAAGGGACACAAAATGCTGTGGAAATTCTTTGGCTTTTTAAAGCTATTTCTTTTCCAGCAGAAGAATGTCTTCCATTACAGAACACAATCCCAGCTCCCAAAGGATTATCTTTGCATAAGGAGTGTGAGCTCCTGGTTGGTTCGTCCCCAGTGGGGGCCATCTTGCCGATTCACTTCAATCCAGGATGTAATGGCAGGGTGGCAGGGTTCCATTCTTCCCTTAGAGTAGTGTTTTCCAGACTCTTTTTTTGACCATTGCAATCCAGTACAAATGTCACATATTTAACTGAAATATGAAAAAGCAAGACTTAAACCTTTTTTATATGTGATGCACTTTGATGTTTTCTTGTCTATTTTACTTTATTCTGTTTCACTGTTCGTTTTTAATGCCAGTCTTGCTGCATTCTGTTGTTTTCATGGCCCACTGATGGGTCACAACTTGCAGTTTGAAAAACACTGCCCTGAAGGGCTATTATTCAGCCTAAGGACACAGCCTCAATCATTTAGATAAGGCGCTGAGAGAGTGACACTGGAATGCAGCTGTCTTTGTTTGGAATCAGCCTATCTATAATTAGTCTGGAGCCCTGGTGGCATAGCAGTTAAGAGCTCAAGCTGCTAACCAAAAGGTTGGCGGTTCGAATCCACCAGCCCATCTTTGGAAACCCTATGGAGCACTTCTACTCTGTCCTATAGGGTCTCTATGAGTCAGAATCAACTCGAGGGCAACGGGTTATAATTAGTCAACCAGCATGTACTGTACATGTACTGCTAGGCACCTCGCATAGAGCTTTTGTGGTAGCTGAGAAGATAAAGCACTCACTGTACTCAGAGAGTCATGCACAATTAAACCCTAAAACTGAGCTTCACAGAACGTTAATTGAGGACTTCCCACGTTCTCAACACTGTGCTAAGGCCTGAGGATACAAAGATGATCAGCGCTCATCCCAACCCTTATGGAGGGACAGCTGTGTGTGGGTAGCACACAGGAATACCAACATATAAGTATAATACAACAAATGTTAGGACGAGCTGAGAACAGCATGCTCTGGCAGCACAGAGGAAGAGTTCCTAAATGGTAGCAGGGTTTATGGAAGGCTTCCTGAGGGAGGTGACTTATGCTGAGCCTTGAAGAACATATAGGGTTTGGCTAGATGGGTTCAACAAAGGTATTCCAAGAAGACATGCTGTGCGTGTGTGATGGCACAAAGGAGAAGAGTGGGAAGGAAGTAGTGCAGAAACTAGAACAAGAATACTCATGTGTGCACAGAGGAGATGAGCCAGGAGAGAAAGCCAGGGAGAGGTGGGCTATGCTGGGCTCTAAGTGCCAGGCCAAGGAGCTCAGAGGATGGGGGACCACTCAGGAATTTACAGCAAGATGACTCAGATGTGCTTTTACAGGATATCACTCTGGCAGCAGGGTGGAGAGGGGGTTGGAAGTGAGCAACATTGGTGAGAGACCAATTAGGAGAGTGACATTGATTCTGGTTTATGATAATGCTGATTCTGGACCCCTCCATTTTCATGGCCAAGAGGGTACACCCCTTCAGAAATCATTAGCATGTACAAAGTATATAAAAGTGACTACCTCTGGGTAGGAAAAAAAGGATTACGGGGGGAAAAAGGGAGGAATTATGTAATTGTGGGCCAAGGAGCCCTGGTGGCACAAGAGTTAAGTGCTTGGCTTCTAACGGAAAGGTTGACGGTTCAAACCCACCCGGCAGCTCCAAGGGAGAAAGACCTGGTGATCTGCTTCCCTAAAGATTACTGCCTAGAAAACCCTTTAGGGCAGTTCTACTCTGTCCCATGGGGTTGCTATGAGTCAAAATTGACAAAATTGCACCTAACAACAGTAACAACAATTGTAGGCCAGTCGGTATTGGAGTGAGAAGGGAATGAGGTCACACGGAGGTCGTCTTGATTGGAATCACAAGCTTACTGACTCCCTCTGTATCCATAAAGCTCGAAACCCTGGGTGCCAGTAAAGATGGAGAGCCTGAAGCTGGGCCAGTAGGATGTTTGTGCAAACTCTGAGTTACACCCCTGCCCTTGCAGCTGCTAAGCCTGGATAATGCACACAGCTGCCTGGGCAGGTGGCCCCAAAGGCCTCCTCAGTATCTGTGATTAAAATTTCAGCAGAGATAGAGTAGACAGAACCCAGCATTATCACCTGAAGGCCAAGAACAGCCATATTTCCTGTTAACTGTAAATCTGTTCACATACAAGATCTCTTAGAGCCAGCGTCATGTACACACACACACACACACACACACACACACACACAATTTCATCCAAGTCTGAGGATTTACAATCCTGAACCAAAATGACAAGCTGTTTAATTTTTGAAAGTGAGTCCTGTAGGTTAAATAATTCTGATATACCCCCCACCTTCCTACTTTTGTACGAAGTTTTTCTTATAAAGAATTGTCTCGTGAGTACTGGAGAAGAAGAGTAACATAGAAATGTCTGTCTGAATCAGCCCATTTCTCCTTCCTCCCCAGTAAATGTTGAGCTTCTCACAACCTGCTCTCCTTTCCCTATTTTATTCATCCATTTTCTTTTGTACTTCCCTTTGGTTTCATCTGGAAATGTAAGTCCAGGCCTTCTTTAACTTTCTTGACATTCTCCCCCCACCCCACCCCACTGCCATCAGCTTATCTTCTTAACGGGGAAGATGGCAGAGTGGGAAGCACCCACCTATATTTCTGCACATAAGCAAAAAACCATAAAATCCACCTCATAATGACAGGTCCAGAATCTTCAAATCCTCCCAAAAGAGATTCCCACTTACAATTCAAAGCCAGGAACTCAGAATAGTTATTTGTTCATCCAGGTCAGCGTGGAGAGGAGATTTGCAAGGAGCAAACCTTAATACACAGTAAAGGTAGCTTTTAATGAACATTGAAAAATCCATGATTCGATATGACAAATTTAAGCTTTTCATCTCCAGAGCACACACAAAACACTTAGCATTCAGAAGCACTTTATCTGAGCTGGAAGTACTCTAATGACAATTCAGAAGCCTTTACTCTCTCCCCAGGAAGCATTTCAGTTGGGACAATGGTGCAGAGCATGACACTGGTGTAATAGGGAAGGAATGTGGATGAACAAAAGCAGAAATCAGGTTTAGTTTAAAGACCAAAAGCTCAACTGCTGCTTTATTTTTATTTATTTATTTTTTACCTCTTCTCTTTCAGGCAGAATTTTTCATTTTCCATTTTTGAAAACTTTTCCAAACAATGTGAAAGCACAGCAAGGAAACCAGATAATGAAACGCTGTAAGTATTTGCGTGCAAAGAAACTCAGGAAGCCGTATCTTGTTCTATAGACACCTTATCATTACCGGCGCCAACGATTTTCTTTTGATAAAAGTCTTGGCTGATGGGGGATGTTTGCCAAGTATTTTTTAACAACTTTCAAAATGGGAATTTCTCTTTGCAAGTGTCATCTAGTCGATCAGGTATTTGCTTCAACTGGTGGGAAAAAAAAAATCTTTGAAAAACGTATCTAAATGTTCATTCAGCAATTAAATTCTCCTCGGAAATTAAAATTTTATTTGTGGGCATTCTTCTGTCACTAAGGGCCCGTTGAAATAATAGCTTCAGTGGTAGGAATTTTCACTCATCACACGGTCAGCATTCCACAAAGACCACTTGGTGAATTAACTGCAGACAGAGCTTCCAGAAGTAGCCACTTCCCTTCAGAGGCTTAGGCCATCGTGACCACTGTGCTCCTGAGTTTAAAACTGTTCAGTCTTCCTGCTATCACTAACATATGCTGGATGGGAGCTTTTTCTATCCTACTGACTGATTTTTAACATTTTTTCCTGCTGTAAATGCTGGGTGCCTTGGCATTTCCACGTACCTTAAGTGTAAAAGCGGACACCTCAAAAGATAATGCCTGGTGTCCCTGTGCCACGTTTACTAAGATTAAGAACTTTCAGTATCCGCTCCTCTGTCTCTGGCTGAGAAATGTGATGCCCCTCTAAAATACCTGGCTAATCTCTACTCCCTCTTCTACACCTTTTATTCTCTTTTTTTTTTTTCTCCTTCCTTTCAATCTCCAAATTATATACAGGTGGTATGGTGGAAGGACTCTGGGCTTTAGGGTCCTCAGCTGGTACGACTCCTTGGCAGTGCCATTCCCGTGACTCTGGGTGTCCTTGGACAACTACTTAAGCTTTCCTGAGACTTTTTCCTCATCTGTAAGAACAGCAGAAATAGCATTTGATTCCCAGGCTGTGAGGGTGAAGGGAGTTGTTGAAGAATGTAAAAGTAACTAGGGTAGCTACTCTGTCTCCTTCTTTTCCTTTTCTTTCATTTCGGTCTGATGCCATCTATCCTCCAGTGTTCCATTCCCTCACCCTTTCCACTCTTCCCTCTCAAGATTCCCTCAGACCCCTTTCCACTCTTCTCTCTCGATATTCCCTCAGTCAGACACCTTTCCACTCCTCCCTGTCAATATTCCCTCAGACACCGTCCCACTCTTCCCTCCCGATATTCCCTCAGACACCTTTCCACTCTGCTCTCTTGGTATTCCCTCTGTCAGACATCTTTCCACTCTTCCCTGTCAATATTCCCTCAGTCAGACACCTTTCCACTCTTCCCTGTCAATATTCCCTCAGATACCTTTCCACTCTTCTCTATGTTCCCTCAGTCAGACACCTTTCCACTTTCCCTCTCGATATTCCCTCAGTCAGACACCTTTCCACGTAATTCTTGCCACCATATGGCTTTATTCTCCTGAACAGGAAGCCATTTCTGGGTACAGTCAATGGTGGAACCGAGCGGTGGCTTGGGGGGAGGGAGGACTTTAGCCCATCCCCAAGAATCCTCATCAGCCTGCCCCAAGCCTACCACATGACCATGCAGTCTGGAGTTTGCTATCTAACACTGCTTTAAGATAAGTCGCCTAATCTCCAACAGCACCCCCAAAATGACCTGAAATTCATATACATTCTAAGTAGAGTGCACTTGCTGTGAAAGCATTCTCTACAATTAGCCCTCTACCTCCCACTTCCTGCCAGACTACCATTCCTGAGTGCCTCGGATGTAGAAATTCTAGAACAGCCACTAAGCCTTACCTGCTCTCCCCAAGATATCACTGTCTCCTTCCTCACTGTCTGCCTGTAGTTCCTGTCTTTCCCCCTCTCATTCTTCATTGGGACTGGAGCAGCGGTGCCACTAACAGTTAGAGGTGCTAACTCCCATGGGCGTCCATTCACCCTTCCCAGCACAGCTCGTGCTGGGCTTTGTCAATAAGCAAGATGCCACCTCAGGAGCCCTCCCGGGACGAAACATAAGTCACAGCTGGTGGGTATTTGGTCTGAAGACAAATCACCAAGGAGAAAAATCGCCAGACATATGCCCTGTAGGGTTAAATATATATATAAAAGAAAAGGCAAAAGACTGGGCAGTGGAGGGGAATCGTGTTTGACCTCTTGTTGATATAAATTTATTCAGAAAGCATGAGAGAGTTTTTAAAAATTTTGGATCAATGCTTCTAACGGCAAAAATAAGTTTTATAATGAGAAAGGAATAACGGAAATCAAGACAGCAATAGTTGGAAGGGTTTTTACCTGATTAAAAAAAAAGCTATTATTTTGTATGAGTCATCCAGGGAGCTTGCTTAAAAAGCAGATGGATTCCTGGGCTCTGTCCCTAGAGATTTTCTCAGGGTTTGGTGTAAAGCCAGGAACCTGCATTTTAAAAGTACCCTGGGTGACTCAGGTGGGGGTGGTCCAAAGGCGGTACTTTGAAGGGCACAGAGAGAGTGAAGAGAGGGAAGGCCTCTGGACTAAGTATGGATATGAAGACCTAGTGCTGTCACTGTCCCCTTTCATGGTGGTTCCCTTACCAATTAAATGAGGGGTTCAATAAAATGAGATGGTCTTTCGGACACTAAGAAATGAGTGACCCATTTTCTTTAATAGTTCTTTATAACCACCTTATCCCTTTAAAGATAGGAAAATATGTGTAATTCTATTGCTGCCCATGAGACAGAGAAAAAGCAATGTGCTGCTTATAAAGGTATTTACCAGTAAAACAGGTGAGGCTCCTAAGCCATCTCCTGCCAGAGCAGCAGCCCTTCTCTAGTTCCATACTGGTCTCTCTGACACTCTAGTACCTTTGTGGAGTCCCAGGTCATAGATTTGTTTTTTTGTTTTGTTTTGTTTTGTTTTTAAGTCTGTGCCTTCCCCTTCAATAACTGTTGTGTATATTTCATTCACTCACTATATTAGGTACACACTTCCTAATATACAACATGAGCAGTTAAGCTTTGAGAAAAAAAAAAAAACTCAACTGCTGTCAAGTTGATTCTGACTCCCAGTGACCCTACAGGACAGGGTAGAACTGCCCCATGGGGTTTCCAAGCAGCGGCTGGTAGATTTGAACTGCCAACCTTTTGGTTAGCAGCCAAGCTCGTAACCACTGTGCCATTAGGGCTCCTGAGCTTTCAGAGTAGAGGAAAATACTCTTTTAATGTGTGAGGAACCCTAAAGTGAAATACATATGTGTAATGGCCTTGACAGGAAAATCATATCCATTTCTCCAGCTCCCCAGATTGTATTAGCAGACTGTAGGCAAAGAGAAAGCTTGCTGACTTTACACGCATCAGGCTGTATACTCTCATTGTCCCTGAATCCTCTCAATTCTGCTCAGAGTCAGGTCATCCTTAGCACCTGGTTTAGATTTACCCATTCCACAAACATTTATTGAATGGACCCTCTGAGCCAAAAACTGTGTGAGGTACTGGGATTTCAGAAATGAAGAAGTACGCATCCCCTGCCTTCAGGAAGCTAATAGACTATTAAAGAAGGAGACCTGCCTCATCACGTGTTGCCGACAGACGGTTAAAGAAGGAGACCTGCCTCATCAAGTGTTGCAATAGTTTGATAACTGCAGTGGACTAAGTGCAGCCCTGGCACAGAGGAGAGGTGGTAAACTCCTTGGAGGAGTAGAATCAAGAAAGGCTTCCCAGAGAAGCTTGTCTTTAAGGGTAAGGAGGAATTTACCAGATGGATGAGGAGGGGAAGGAAATTGCAAGCAGGAGAAACATCACATGCAGAGGCTGAAAGGTGACAGAGCAGGGCTTATTCAGAGAACCACACGTCATTTCATGTGACCAGAGGGAAGTCTGCATGGGAAATCTGCAAGAGGTAGTAAGAATTCCTAACATGTACTAAACACTTAATGTGTGTCAGGCACTATTCTAAATGTTCTCCATGCGTTACACGTTTAGTCCTTAGCACCATCGTACAAGGGAGATACGACTGTTGTCCCTATTTGGCAAGTGAAGAACTTGAGGCATGGAGATGTTAAACAGCTCCCCCGGGTTTGCGAAACCTGTAAGCAGCTGAGCCAGGACGGGAACCAGAGCAGTAGGGATCCAGAGTGCGTGCACTAAATTGCGAGGCTCTGCTGCTGGAGTCCCTGGGTGGTGCACATGGCTAATATGCTAACTGAAAGGTTAGAGGTTCGAGTCCACCGAGAGGTGCCTTGGAAGAAAGGCCTGGCAGGCTACTTCTGAATAATCAGCTGTTGAAAACCCCATGGAGCACAGTTCTATTCGGACATACTTGGGGTCACTTGGTTACTGGTTAAGTGCTTCTTAGAGATGAGACTGGAGAGCAGGCAGAGGCCAGACCAAGGCAGGCGGTGGAGGTTATCACAAGGAGGCTCAAACCTAGGGCAGGTTTGAGATGGGTAAGTGAAATTCACAGATTTGTCCTTAGGAAAGATCACTCCAGGAGGAAGGTACAGGATGGACTGGGGAGAGTGCTGCAGATGGAGGAAGGATGCCAGGAAGAAACCTAACGTAACTGTCCCGCAGGAAAGGGTGAAAACCTGAACTCTGGCAGTAGCAGTGGGGTTGGGGGCAGGGACGGCAGGAGAGGGGCTGTCCCTTCTCTAGGGATGGAGTCCCTCTTCAGTCCACCCCCTCTCTGTCTTTGACTCACACCCCTCAGGACTATCTGCTTTCACTATTTCTCCCTATTATCCATGACTATATTCTTCTTCCTTTTCTCCCATGTTCCACTAATCTATCCTTGATTTCTAGTTATCTGCCAGGCTGTTTGATTACCCAAGGCCTTAACTGCTAACTGGTCCATCACTAGCTGACGATTTTCAACAATGCTCAGCTTACAATCTCATTTGTGTTGTTCTGCAGACAAACAGCTCAGTAGCAGTTTGGTTGGCAACTAAATGAGATAAACAGCTGAGAAAAATGCCAAGAAAGGATTCTTTTGGATTTAGCAAGCATACATTGTACCTCTACATTTGTTTTCCAAAGAAAATCATCCTCTGTAAACAGCTTCATTAAGTCTTTGCATCAGTGTGTAAAATCTATTTAAAAAAAAAAAAAGTCTAACTGGCTTTTCGTTCCCTTAAGAACTCCTACATCAATTCAGATTCTCAAATAATTTAACAAATGTAAGGCTGAGACTGTTGTGGTTTTGTTTTGTTTTGTTCATTAGGCTTTAAAAAAAAACACTAAGGATGATTTTTGAATTTTTTAATACTCAGAATCATACAAAATCTCTTGTTCACATTGCACCGAAATATTCTTCTTACAGTTACTCTGCCATTTTTGAGGATGAACTGAGTGGCTGGGATTATGACTATGGTTTCTGCTCACGTAAGACTCTCCGATGTGCTCCTGAACCGGACGCTTTTAATCCCTGTGAAGACATCATGGGCTATGACTTCCTCAGGGTCCTGATTTGGCTGATTAACATCCTAGCCATCATGGGAAACATGACCGTCCTCTTTGTTCTCCTGACCAGTCGTTACAAACTGACAGTGCCCCGTTTTCTGATGTGCAATCTCTCCTTTGCAGACTTCTGCATGGGGCTCTACCTGCTGCTCATCGCCTCGGTTGATTCCCAAACCAAAGGCCAGTACTATAACCACGCCATAGACTGGCAGACGGGGAGTGGGTGTAGCGCCGCTGGCTTTTTCACTGTATTTGCGAGTGAACTTTCTGTCTACACCCTCACGGTCATCACGCTAGAACGATGGCACACCATCACCTATGCTGTTCAGCTGGACCAGAAGTTGCGATTAAGACATGCCATTCCGATTATGCTTGGAGGGTGGCTCTTTTCTACCTTACTTGCTATGTTGCCCCTTATGGGTGTCAGCAGTTACATCAAAGTCAGCATTTGTCTCCCAATGGATGTGGAAAGCACTCTCTCGCAGGTCTACATATTAACCATCCTGATACTCAACGTGGTGGCCTTCATCATCATTTGTGCTTGCTACATTAAAATTTATTTTGCAGTTCAAAATCCAGAGCTGATGGCTACCAACAAAGATACCAAGATTGCTAAGAAAATGGCAATCCTCATCTTCACCGACTTCACCTGCATGGCACCTATCTCTTTTTTTGCTATCTCAGCTGCCTTCAAAGTGCCCCTGATCACAGTAACCAACTCTAAAGTTTTACTCGTTCTTTTTTATCCTGTCAATTCTTGTGCCAATCCATTTCTGTACGCAATTTTCACAAAAGCATTCCGAAGAGATTTCTTCCTTTTGCTGAGCAAATTTGGCTGCTGTAAACGCCAGGCTGAGCTTTATAGAAGGAAGGATTTTTCAGCTTATGACTCCAACTGCAAAAATGGTTTCACTGGGTCTAACAAGCCTCCTCAGTCCACCTTGAAGTTGTCTGCACTGAACTGTCAATACACACCTGGTCCTAGAGAAGACTTGCTGCAATGAGTGTTAACTGTTACGTTGGTAATCACATTATTCAGTTGTACCTATACCTGTGCCAGTAATTGTAACATAAAGAATTGGTTTTAGGAAATTATTTATCCTTAGGCAAATTCAGCAAAAAGGAACCTCTCTCTGCCTAGCTCAAGGTGTGATCCATGGGCTGCTGCCAGTCTGAGAACTATTTTTCAGTGGTACATGATGACATAAAATAAAGAAGTTGAGAATGTTTAGAAACTTTTATACCAGTTTTGGTGGAGTAATTTTATGTGTGTTGAACCTAATTCAAAAACTGGGGTGGTATTTTACATGTCTTTGGTTTTATCTCATTCCATTTTGTTGTAATATTTATTGCATTTTACAAAAATACTAGTCCATAACAGATAAGAAATTAAAAAAAAAAAAACTGGTCCTTCTCCTCAGATAGTATGAGAAACATGCTCTAGAGATGCACTGTCCAATCTGGCAGCCACAGTCACGTGGCTAAATTAAAATAAAATTTACAATATAATTTCTCAATTGCAGTAGCCATATTTCAACTGCTCAATAGCCACAAGTGCTTAGAGATTACTGTCCTGGAAAGCGCAGAGAACAATTTCATCACCGCAGAAAGTTCTAATTGGGTAGCAATGTTTTGGAGCCTTTCATCTATCCTGTCTAGATTATACTTATTTGAAATTTAATGTAAGGTAGGCATCTGAAGGCACATTTCAGCCTATTTGCTTAGTTCGGTGTTTAGCCTCTAAAGAGCAATGAAACATTAAGTTGTAGACTGTAAGCTCCTTGCAGGTAGAGACCATATCTGTTTTGTTTCCCTGTCTCCTAGCCTGGGATCTTGGTAACAGTATGCAACAAATGTGTGAATTACACTGAAGTTAATGAAATCTGTAAGAGAAAACTGTGTTGTCTTTCTAGGGCCCCATCTTTTTATCAAACTAAAAGAAAATATTTAAAGATACTACAACGTTCATCATTTTTATCCTTCGGTGTGTATAAAAAAATGCATCCAAAATAGAAAGTGTTTTTATTTAGTTGCATTGACTCTTACAGGACAATGACATTATGCTTTGAATTGCAGTGTTCTTTGTGTGCTCCTTTGACTTTTTAAAAATAACTTTTATTAATAAGTCACTATATGCCAAACATCTTGATAAATATTTTATTTAACCCATTTAATCTTCACAAAACTCAATAATACGGATATTATCTGCATCTTATAGCAGAGGATTGTCTGATTCCAAATGGCCAATACCAGTCCATTTCAGCTCACTAATGCCTAACATTCGATTTCATTTTTGATGACTTCCGATTTTCCTTGAAAATGGATGTCAGAAGGGACTCAGAAACTTGCTCTTGAATGTAGAGTAGCTAAATGAAATGAAAGAAATGAGGAAGTCAAAGAGCTGAACAGAAGATTTCAAAGGGTGGCTCAAGAAGACAAAGTGAAGTACTATAATGAAATATGCAAAGACCAGCAGGGAAGAAGATGGTCAGCATTTCTCAAGATGAAACAACTGAAGAAAACATTCAACCCTCAAGTTGCAATACTGAAGGATTCTATGGGCAAAAACTTGAATGAGCCAGGAAACATCAAAAGAAGATGGAAGGTTACAGCCTAGTTTGGTGAGTAGTGACTGGGGTCTTAAAAGCTTGTGAGCGGCCATCTAAGAATCAACTACTGGTCTCTACTTGTCCAGACCAAAGAGAAAGAAAAAAACCAAAAACTCAAAGAAGAAACTAGTCTACAGGACAAATAGTCTTCATGAACTATGGCCTCAATTACACTGAGACCAGAAGAACTAGATGGTGCCCGGCTACACTACCAATGGTTCTAATCAGGGCCACAATAGATGGACCCTGATAGAATGGGATAAAAATGTGGCACAGAACTTCAAATTCCTCAGGAAAAAAAAAAACTTCTGGGCTGTTTTGAGACTGGAGGACTCCCAGAGACTACTGCCCTTGAACCAAAACTAACCCCAGAGGTCACCTTGTAGCTAAGTAACAAATCATGAATAATGAATATCGCGTTTAAGTACTGTGCTCTTTAAAAAATCACCTATATGACACCAAATGGTCAATGATTAGTTTAAAACAAAGATGAGAATGTAAGGGGTAGGTAAACTAGATTAATGGAAAAGGGGTGGGTAAACTAGATTGATGGAAATGGAACAATCAGAATGGAAATAATGAGAATGTTCATGCATTGTGAAGAATGTAACCAATGTCAGTGAAAAACCTGTGTAGAAATTACTGAATGGAAACCTAAACTGCTGTGTAAACCTTTACCAAGAAAACAATAAAATTTTATTTAAAAAAAAAGAAGATGGAAGGAATACACAAAGTCCCTATACCAAAAAGAATTGGTCAATGTTCAGCCATTTCAGGAGGTAGCATATGATCAAGAACCGATGGTACTGAAGGAAGAAGTCCAAGCTGCACTGAAGGCATTGATGAAAAACAAGCCTCCAGGAACTGACAGAATACCAACTGATACACTTCAACAAACGGATGCAATGCTGGAAGCACTCACTCATCTATGTCAAGAAATATGGAAGACAGCTACTTGGCCAACCTACTTGGCCAACCAACTGGAAGAGATCCATATTAGTGCCCATTCCAAAGAAAGGTGATACAGTGGGATGCAGAAATTATAGAACAGTATCATTAATATCACATGCAAGCAAAATTTTGCTAAAGATAATTAAAAAATGGCTGCAGCCGTATCTCAACAGAGAACTCCCAGAAATTCAAGCCAGATTCAGAAGAGGATGTGGGATGAGGGATATCATTACTGATGTCAGATGGCTCTTGGCTAAAAGCAGAGAATACCAGAAAGATGTTTACTTGTAATTTATTGACTACACAAAGGCATTCAACTGTGTGGATCATAACAAATTACAGATAACACTGTGAAGAATGGGAATTTCAGGACACTTAATTGTGCTCATGCGGAACTTGTACACAGACCAAGAGGCAGTCATTAAAACAGAACAAGGGGTACTGCGTGGTTTAAAATCGGAAAAGGTGTGCACCAAGATTGTATCCTTTCACCATACTTATTCAAGCTGTATACTGAGCAAATAATCCAGAAGCTGAACTATATGAACAGCATGGTATCAAGATTGGAGGAAGACTCACTAACAACCTGCAATATACAGATGACACAACCTTGTTTGTCAAAAGTGAAGAACACTTGAAGCACTTCTTGGTGAAGATCAAAGACTGCAGCCCTCAGTATGGATTACACCTCAACATAAAGAAAACAAAAAATCATCACAACTGGACCAAATAAGCAACATCGTGATAAACAGAAAATACTGAAGTTGTCAAGGATTTCATTTTACTTGGACCCAAAATCAATGCCCATGGAAGCAGCAGTCAAGAAATCAAATGACGGAACTCCGGCAAGATGGCGCTCTAGGCAGAAGCACCACGCTGTCCCTCCACAGCAAAGATCCGATAAACTAAGCCAAACAGAGAATCAACAATCCTGAAACCCTAGAACATCAAATGAAGAGATAAAGAACTCAGCCGAACACCAAATGGAGTAAGAATACT